ACAAAAGCAAGACCCCCATCTCTACTAAAAATAGAAGAACTAGCCGGGTGTAGTTGCAGCTATTTAAGAAGCTGAGGCAAAAGGATCACTTGAGCCCAAGAGATTGAGGTGCTGTTTGAGGACAAAGTAAGACTGTCTCAAACAAAGAACAACAAACACATATGAAAGTCATATATCTATGATATATCTGTGTGTATATATATCATATTTATATGAGGGATATACATCTCATAGATCTCATACAGAGATTACGTAAAAAATGTTTAACCTTGAGACTGGGTCCTAGTTCTAACGCTGTCTCTTTCACTTACAGTGTCTCTTCCACTGACTACAAATAAAAACACTGGATAAAATACAAAAAATGACTACCTGAACAACTCTGAAAAGTAAACCAAAGCAACGGGGAATCCCAGAGGAAGTCAAAACGTGAAAGCGCCTCTGCGTAACGGTGAGCTTCCAACTGTCTTTTTGGAAGGTTCTCTCTTTAACAGTCTCGCCCCAAGGTTGCGCACAGCCCTGCTAGAGCATGGCAGCAGGGCTGGAAAGGCAGCTAAAACTCTAAGAGAAATCCCATCTTCCCAGACAAAGGAACCAGAAAAAGAAATCTCTGCAGGTTCGAGACTAAGGGAAGAAATCCACAGTAGACAGAAGCAGAGAAAAGGATCCCCAATTCTGTGTATGTACTTGTGTAGGTCTCAGGCTCACTCTAAGCTAAGCATGTGCTTAGAAGACTAAACAAAGACTGTTTTTTTCCCCTTTTTTTGTTTATTTGTTTGTTCATTTGTTTTTTAAGACAGAGTCTCAAGCTGTTGCCCTGGGTAGACTGCTGTGGCATCACAGTTCACAGCAACCTCAAACTCTTGGGCTTAAGCGATCCTCTTGCCTCAGCCTCCCAAGTAGCTGGGACTACAGGCGCCCGCCCCAACACCTGGCTATTTTTTAGTTATAGTTGTCACTGTTGTTTGCAGACCCGGGCTGGATTTGAACCTGCCAGCTCCGGTGTATGTGGCTGGCGCTTTAGCCACTTGAGCTACAGGTGCCGAGTCTTTTTTTCTTTTTTGAGATAAAGTTTTACTTTGTCACCCTTACCCTCACCCTCGGTAGAGGCTATGGTATCACAGCTCACAGCAACCTCAAACTCTTGGGCTTAAACAATTCTCTTGCCTTAGCCTCCCAAGTAGCTGGGACTATAGGCACCTGCCATAATGCCTGGCTTTTTTTTGTTTCTGTTTTTTTTTTTTTTTTTTAAAGAGAGGAGGTCTCACTCTGGCTTAGGCTGGTATTGCGGACTCCTGAGCTCAGTCAGGCAATCCACCTACCTCGGCCTCCCAGAATACTAGGATTCCAGGTGTGAGCCACCACACTCAGCCTCTAAACAAAGGCAAAACAGAACCTGTCATAACAAATTGGCTTGAGGAGTGGTTTGGGGACAATTTTAACTTCAGAAAGCAACACAGAAGCTGTCATAACAAACTGACCTGAGAGCTTGCTAAGACAAAAACATCAACATTCTCCAGATGCTCTATACAACATTCACCTCACCAGGACATACGCCAAAGTTATTTAATATATAAAGTACCAGAAAGTTACTAAATCTCAAGATAAAAATAATCAATAGATGCAAAACCTGAGAAAGCCTAGGTATGGAATTCTCAACGATTTCAAAACAGCTGTTAGAACTTCAAGGCAAAGGAAGCCAGGCTAGCAACAAACAAAAAGATAAAAGTTCTCAGCAGAGGCTCAGTGCCTGTGGCTTAAGCGGCTAAGGCGCCAGCCACACATGCCTAACCTGGCGGGTTTGAATCCAGCCAGGGCCTGCCAAAACAATGACAGCTGCGACCAAAAAATAGCCGGGCGTTGTGGCAGGAGCCTGTGGTCCCAGCTACTTGGGAGGCAGAGGCAGGAGAATCGCTTGCCAAAACAATGACAGCTGCAACCAAAAAATAGCCGGGCGTTGTGGCAGGAGCCTGTGGTCCCAGCTACTTGGGAGGCAGAGGCAGGAGAATCGCTTGAGCCCAGGAGTTAGAGGTTGCTGTGATACTCTACCCAGAGAGACAGCTTAAGGCTCTGTCTCAAAAAAAAAAGAAGTTGTTCTCAGCAGAGAAATGAAAACTATAATATAAAATGAACCAAATGGAAATATTAGAATATACAATATTTGAAATAAAGAGATCACTAGAATCGTTCAAGAGCAGAAAGAGGGTAAAAGAGTCAGTGAATTTAAAGGTGTATCAATATAATGATCTTATCTGAAAAATAGAGAAAAGGGGGATTAAAAAATAAAAAGTTTCGGGCAGCGCCTATGGCTCAAAGGAGTAGGACGCTGGCCCTATATACCGGAGGTGGCGGGTTTAAACACAGACCTGGCTGAAAACTACAAAATAAAATAATTAAACAGTTTCTGGGACCTGTGGACAATATCAAAAGACCTACTATGTGTGTGTCATTGGAATCTCAGAGAGCAGAGAACAATGGGGCAGGACAGTATTTTACCAAATATGAAGAAAGACATAGTTACAGACTTAGGAAACTCAGAAAACCTCAAATAAAATAAATGAAAAGAAAACCATGCCGGGTGGCGCCTGTGGCACAAAGGACTAGGGCACCGACCCCATATGCCAGAGGTGTCAGGTTCAAACCCAGCCCCAGCCAAAAACTGCAAAAAAAAGGGAAAAAAAAGAGAAAACCATGCCTAGATACAGCACAAACTGTTAAAAAAAAATCATGAAAATAGACCAATTACATACAAGGGAACAACAATTTGAATGACTACAGACTCCCCATCAGAAACCATGGAGGCCAGGAGATGATATTCAGCAATAGTTTCCTTTAGGCATTAAGGTTAAGTAAAGATACTCTCAGATGAAGGAAAACTAAAAGAATTCATCTTCAAGAGACCTGCTTAGGAAGAAATGCTAAAAGTTCTTCAGTCTTAAGGAAATGATGGCAGAGAAAAATCTGCACGTTAAGAACAAAGAAAGGTGGCGCCCCAAGCTCAGTGGGTAGGGTAGGGCGCTGGCCACATACACTGAAGCCAGCGGGTTTGAACCCGGCGTGGGCCAGTTAAAACAATGACAACTGCCACACAGAAAATAGTCAGGCATTGTGGTGGTGCCGGTATCCCCAGCTATGTGGGAAGGGAAGGTAAGAGAATCGTTTAAGCCCAAGAGTTTGAGGTTGCTGTGAGCTGGGAGACCCTGTCTCAAAAACAAACAAACAAACAAAAAAGAATGAAGAGCCACATAAATGAGAAATATCTGGACAAAGATAAAAATTTTTCTTCCTTTCAAAGTCTTTAAAAAATAAAATTTGTGGCTCGGCGCCTATAGCTCAACCGGCTAGGG